TCAAAAGGCTGTAAAGTTTGTCACATATGTACTTCCAAGAATATCCTTCATATCATCATCTTTACTATCTATTTCCTCTTTGCATTATCAACCTTCAGTATTTACATTATATCATTGTTTACTTCATGTTTTCAATTTGACATTTTCTGTAGTTTCTAACACACATTAACTCTGAATTGTAATCTCCAATAGGCCTTTTTCACTTTATTCCTCTTCTGTCTTTACCACCAAAAGCTTTCACTTGCTGCAATAAATTTCAATGATTGAATAACTTTCTCCATCTAAATAATATTCTCTCCTTACATTCCATTCTTTCCTCTACCTCCCCATCTATAGCAACCCACTTCGAAGTCCCTGAGCATCCCTGCCCACTTGTCCCACCTGCCCGTCCCACAGACCCTTCGCCCCAGCACTGTCCCCTCTGTGTCCCTCACCATCGCTGGTCAGTACATCGTGGACGACAGTGACTTTATTGAAGTAGATCTCGTGGATGAGGAGATCATCCAGCCAACCCACTCCTTCCTGAAGGCCTTGCTATCCAGGGTGGCCAACTTCTTCAGAAGAGTCAAGAGTGTGTTTAAGAAGAAGGATGATTAGGCAGTGAACTCTGAACACATATGTATATACTTATATACACAAAACATTAATGAATCATTTTTAGGACTCTTGAGGCATTTGTTACAATATTTGGGAAATACATAAAATCTATCTGTTTGTTTTTGGCTATTTTCTTTATGTTAATGAAATACATTATTTGTTACAACATTTTGTTTTGTTTTGATTTGTTCCTTTTCTGCTATTTTCTAAGGCGCCGCGATTCGCTGTGCAGAGTTGCGTCCCTTGGGCACGCCAGAAACCTATGTATATACTTATACTTTGGACTGTTGAGGCATGTGTGACAATACTTAGGAAATACACAAAATGCATCTCTGTTTGTTTTTTGGCTATTTTCTTTATGTTAATGAAATACGGTATTTGTTACAACATGTTTTTGGTTTAGTTGTTCCTTTTCTGCTATTTTCTGGCTATGTTATAGACTAACGCATGGTGATCAAACGTGTAATCTAAATTTCTAAAATGTCTAAATAGCAAAAGGCAACAGTTCAGCATGTACCTGACAAACCTGCAAAGTTTCATGAAAAAATATTGAACGGTTTATGAGTTATGCTCCGGAAACAAACCCTACCCTCACAGAACCTAAGTACATCTTGTAGCCATGGAAACGTAAAAAATAAAACATTCTAAAATTTCTAAATAGCAAAAGGCACCAGTTCAGCATCTACCTGACAGACCTGCAAAGTTTCATGAAATAATATTGAACGGTTTAGGAGTTATGCTCTGGAAACGAACCCTACCATCACAGAACCTAAGTCCATCTTGCTGCCATGGAAACGTAAAAAATAAAAGATTCTAAAAATTATTTCCCATACAAACCCACACACTATCCTGCTGTAGCTATGTATCCTGATTTTCATTCAACAGTACTTCAAGACACCTGTAGTATAAAGTATATTTTGTAGATATTATTATCATATAGCAAATATGAATTTAGAAAGTTTATCATCAAATCTTCTGATGGTTAAATAAATGCAAATTGAACCCAGCAATCATTCCATGTAGATAAATGGATTTATTTATGTTATTTGTTTTTCATATAACAGATTATACTTACATATGTTACAGTCAGTGTCTATAATCAGGCCCAATATGTATATTGACAGAAAATTTCAGTCAATATGTATATTAACAGATTCACTCGGGCAAGGTATATGTTTTCTTAAATTTTCATTCATTTATTATTGCCTGAAAAATAGGACTGGATTTTGACAGACTGACTGAAATGAAGTAGACTGCATAATTTAATCTCCTCAATTTAATTTGGATCTATTTTGATCTTATGACGATCAAAGAAACTTATGTAAGAAATTAAAAATGTTTTCACAATGAAATTGATTGATTCTCCAAACATGAAATAATACCAGAGTCCTTTTTTTGTTACTTATCTTAATTGGCATAATATTCAGTTCAGAAACAGATGACTGCTAAAAAGTCATGCATGTGTAATCAAATACTAGGACACATGCACAAGTATGCCAAGATATTGATTAAAATAATAAGAGTCATTATGCAATGCAGATATATGTTGGTGGGAAGAGAAAAAAGAGTCAGCGTCAGTTAATATGGTCTCTGATTCCAGGTGCTATTTTACCAAATCGGGACTGACGGTATTTATACAGTATGATTGAACATTTAACTGTATATAGGGTATATCTTTAGATGCAAGACATATGTAAAATCAGAAATTATTTCTGAGGGATTCTTTGACCGAAGTACTTAAGTCGGGTACCCCCGGCGCGGCAGAATCCTATGACCGTGGCTATAATCCCAGATGCAACCTGATTATGTTTCTAGGTTCACCAGCCCAAGCCTCCGACCAGTCCTTCACGTCAATTGCGCAAAACGATCCCAAAGGAGTTCAATCAGTGAAATGTCTGGAGATTTGGCTGGCGAGGACCATGTTGTGACACCTTAATGCCTCAGACAGTCGACTGCAATACGAGCTCTGCAAGGACGTGCCTTGTCATCCTGGAACTCAAAGTTCTGACCCACACACGGGTAAAAAGGGATGACCACGGGACGTTTCCCTTGGTCCACATAACGTAGACCGGTCATGTCCCCTTAGGGGGCACGGGTGTCCCAGTCGTCTAAGGCGCCGCAATTCGCTGTGCAGAGTTGCGTCCCTTGGGCACGCCAGGGCTTTCCTCCCACATTAAGCTGACACGCCGTGATATGACTGGAATACTGTTAAAAGCGGCGTTAAACCCAACTCACCCACTCCCTTACACGATCATTAGATCTGTCTTCTTGTCGTATGTGATGTCACCTGAGATCATGACGCTGCCACCACCGTACGTATCGTGTTCTGACGGATGGTACTGCTGCCGGAAAGTACCACTCTCCACGCCGTCTCCAAATACGTTGTCTGCCATCTGTAATGTGTAAATATAACCTCGATTCTTAAGAAAACATGGTGTTTCTCCAATGCCGCAGTTGACGACCTCCAAACTGTTCCCACTGTTGTCTGAGGCGTCTGTGTGTCAGACGCAATCATGTGGAAGGACGGCTTGATTTCAGACCCCTCAGTGTTCGCTCTGTTTCGTATCGCTGACGTCTAAAGTCGGATTCCTGTGGGAGCCATGACGTTGTCCCCCACTTCTGGTGCAGAAATGAACCCGCTCCCCAACGTAATTGGGCATTGCCTAAAAGTCGGGCCGGGCCGGGCCAAGACGGGCCAAAGTGTTACTGGCTAATTACTTCATTATCGGCGATCATACCTACATATAATTGATGCAACATACACACATGACATTAATGAACAATCAACCAACAAAAAAGTGCACCATAAATAAGTAATTCGGAGTAAATCGTTTGACAACCAGAAAGTGGAGCAGTGTGTAAGCGTCGCTGATCTTGGTAACATGTAAAAGAGCAATCGTTAAACGAAGTAAGATTTGAAACGTATCAAATACTTCTAGCTATCGTGATACAAATTTCCATCTGTGAGCATAGTGTTTATATTTATAGGACCGTACTATATATAAGTAAATACCACTTTATAATGTCACTGATCGTCGTATTTAAAGCAGACACATTGGTTAAAGTAGACCTCTTCTCCCTATACTCTCAACAGTCACACAGATGTTCGGTCCGACTTGGCCCGGGCTCTCAAAATCAACTTTAAACTCACATATGTATCATCAAATGGATTCACATCTATAAACTAGTATAATATCTACCTAAATACCACTTTATAGTGTCTCAGATCACTGTACTTAAAGAAAACAAGGTGCTCAAAGTGAAGCATTTTTACTGTATTTCTTTAGAAAATCTATGTCAGAAGTGTTCGGTCCGACTTGGCCCGGGCTGTCAAAATCAACTAATAACTCACAGATGTATCATCAAATGGATTTACATCTTTAGATTAGTATTATATCTGCCTATATACCACTTTACAGTTTCTCAGATCGCTGTACTTAAAGAAAACAAGGTGCTCAAAGTGAAGCCCTTTTTCCCCTACATTCTCAACATAGCCTCTATCAGAAGTGTTTTGCTTGTGTTGGGTCCGACTTGGCCCGGGCGGTCAAAATCAACTTTAAACATACAGATATATCTTCAAATGTGTTTAGATCTATAGATTAGTGTTATATCTACCTATATACCACTTTATAATGTCACGTTACATCGTATTTAAAGAAAACAAGGGGCTCAAAGTAAAGCATTTTTACTGTATTTTCATAAGAAAATCTATGTCAGAAGTGTTCGGTCCGACTTGGCCCGGGCGGTCAAAATCAACTTAAACCTCACAGATGTATCATCAAATGGATTCACATCTTTAGATTAGTATTTTATCTATCTAAATACCACTTTATAGTGTCTCAGGTCGCTGTACTTAAAGAAAACAAGGGTCTCAAAGTGAAGCCCTTTTCCCTCTACATTCTCAACATAGTCTCTATCAGAAGTGTTTGTCTTGTGTTGGGTCCGACTTGGCCCGGACTGTCAAAATCAACTTAAACCTCACAGATGTATCATCAAATGGATTCATATGTTTAGATTAGTATTATATCTACCTGAATACCACTTTATTATGTCACGGTACATCGTATTCAAAGAAAACAAGGTGTTCAAAGTGAAGCATTTTTACTGTATTTTCTTAAGAAATTCTATGTCAGAAGTGTTCGCGTATATTTGTGCTTAAGTCACTTGGACATTGTTTAGCTTCATGAACTCTTCATAAGAAACATGTCAGACAGCTTTGACATCATTGATGACTTAGTCTTATGAGATGTGTAAACCTTAGGGGAAATGAGCTCAAGTAAATACAGAAACAGAGGGTCTAAAATTGCCAGTGTTAGGCCCGAAAGTCTATTTAGGATTTAAATTGTGATTAAGGAAGTAGAGGGTAGAGAGAGAACAAGATAACAAATCTTAACAAAACCTACCTGCCAAACAAGTGCTAGTTCGTTCGTATCCGTAATCCGTCACAAACTGTAATGAACGCATAGTGTGTTCGATGAAGGAAATACAGCCCTTCAGATCTTTGTTTACTGAATACACCTTGACCTATGTTCAGTGATATAATTTATAAGATATTGATGCTACATGGCCGCCCATAGTTTCTTGGAAATGTCAAGGTTTTGTGCTCAACAAATATATATGACTGTATATGATGTCTCATCTTGATGTACTTTAATAATGCAATTCGACAAAGAAGATGTACAGATGCCTCGACAACATTTTTCACACATGAATGACTTCAACCTTGGCTCTCAACTAGTACAGGTAAACATGGCTATTAATGCTCATGTGTGTCAGGTTGCCCTAACCTCGCCGTCGTATCTGTACACAAAACAAGTGCATAGTCTAAACTAGGCTACATATGCATTTCTTCAGCCGTTTCAGTAATGCAGTGCGCTGTCACAGCATGCTGGTAGGTCTGTACAGCACAATGTATTTTATTAGTAATTGGTCGATTCTTCATAAATCATATTTTTTGCCATTCATTTCACATATGCCTCGGTAGAATTGAGGTAGGGGAAGGACTTCTGGTCAGATAACAAGGTATTCAGATATCCAGAAACTCGTTTATCCGGACAACATTTTAGAAAAAGCAATTGGCCGGATAAGCGAGGTTCGACTGTATAGCGCGTGATACATGACAAAACAGATGTGTTAGGACCTGATTCGCACTTGCTGAAGGGATACCAATGGACCCTGATCATAATACATTGGTTGCTTATTATTATTATTAAACATATTGTATTGTCCAAAAAGACAAAGGGATTGGGCACAAGTGCAGCACTTATTACCACCTTCTCCATATATACAGTTATACATAATATTGCATAATGAAAATTAACAATTTACAGTTGAAGCATCACATTGTGGAAACATAGTGCGCAATATAAATTTATATACAGTGCTCATATGAAGGATATGTACAATGTGCTGGAAAGTGAAGACAGTGTGCATCTCATACATATGCTGATATTATATATGTTAGTGTTGTATATAGATTTAACAATATTAATGATTAACAGTTTTGAAACAATAATACGCTAGCTACTGAATCTGTTAGCCGTTTCTATATAAATTTGTGTACAGACAAGAATATTTTTGTATTCAGGAAAACATCTAAGTTTGGATCACAAAAAAGAATACTATTTAGAGTTTTTTGTCCTCCAAGATTATCGATAGCTGTCAGTAATGTCACACATTTGAAGATACGTATGTGTGTTTAAAGTTGATTTTGACCGCCCGGGCCAAGTCGGACCGAACACTAGCCAAACACTTCTGATAGAGACTATGTTGAGAATGTAAAGGGAAAAGGGCTTCACTTTGAGACCCTTGTTTTCTTTAAATACGATGTACCGTGACATTATAAAGAGGTATATAGGTAGATATAACACTAATCTATAGATGTAAACACATTTGAAGATACGTATGTGTGTTTAAAGTTGATTTTGACCGCCCGGGCCAAGCCGGACCCAACACAAGCCAAACACTTCTGATAGAGACTGTTGAGAATGTAAAGGGAAAAGGGCTTCACTTTGAGCCCCTTGTTTTCTTTAAATACGATGTACCGAGACATTATAAAGTGGTATATAGGTAGATATAACACTAATCTATAGATGTAAACACATTTGAAGATACATAAGTGTGTTTAAAGTTGATTTTGACCGCCCGGGTCAAGTCGGACTCAACACAAGCCAAACACTTCTGATAGAGACTATGTTGAGAATGTAAAGGGAAAAGGGCTTCACTTTGAGCCCCTTGTTTTCTTTAAATACGATGTACCGTGACATTATAAAGTGGTATATAGGTAGATATAACACTAATCTATAGATGTAAACACATTTGAAGATACATATGTGTGTTTAAATGTTATTTTGACCGCCCGGGCCAAGTCGGACCCAACACTTCTGACATAGATTTTCTTAAGAAAATACGGTAAAAATGCTTCACTTTGAGCACCTTGTTTTCTTTAAGTACAGTGATCTGAGACACTATAAAGTGGTATTTAGGTAGAAATAACACTAATCTATAGATGTAAACACATTTGAAGATACGTCTGTGTGTTTAAAGTTGATTTTGATCGCCCGGGCCAAGTCGGACCCAACACAAGCCAAACACTTCTGATAGAGAGAATGTAGAGTGAGTGAGTAAGTGAGTATGGTTTTACGCCGCTTTTAGCAATATTCCAGCAATATCACGGCGGGGGACACCACAAATGGGCTTCACACATTGTACCCATGTCGGGAATCGAACCCTGGTCTTCGGCGTGACGAGCGAACGCTTTAACCACAAAACTAGAGTATGTAGAGGGAAAAGGGTTCACTTTTGAGCACCGTGTTTGCTACTGCAATATGAGACACTAAAGTGTTATATAGGTAGATATGATATTATAATTAGTCTATAGATGTAAAGTATGTGTTGTAATTTTAGAAGCGCTTTGACAGTTATTAACACGTGTCGTGTCAGTCCTATGACATTCGCGAATATCCACTTGCAGAAAACATCCTGTCTTGGTTTAACATGAATTAGTAAAGGTTAATTAGGTATGCCAAACACGTTAATTAATGAAAGAAGAGTAGTCAAAACACTGTCATTTCGAATTCCTGCCCAGGACATCACACCCCTGCAGCTAAGATCGGTGAGAAACCTTCTCATCAAAGTAAAGACACAGTCAAGACACTGACTTTTTCGGTATGGACTCTCGGTATGTAGCTATAATTATCAGTTTATTACATTGCTGAAGATTCATTTTGATTCAAACTCAATTAAATGAGCAAAACTATCCGTTTCTGGACATTTGAGATCTGCCTAGATATGCACGTTTCGTTTTATTATTCTGCAATCCATTTTTAGTATTACCCGCTGGCCCGGCCCGGCCCGACTTTTCTTGGCCCGACTTTTAGGCAATCCCACGTAATGGTGCGTACCTATCGATCCTACCTGGGAGTCAGTAGTATCTCTAGGCCTTCCTCAACCCACCCTTATTTTAACAACACACGTTTGCCGATATCTTCCCATCAGTTGGGATATCACACTTTTAGATTACCAAAGTATCTGGCAACTGCATTTTGTTATTGGCCAGCTTTCAATCATGCCTTTTACGCCGAATTTTGTTTTTCATTTTCTGTCATGTACACGTCTGGAGGCAGTTTCCTTATTTGTACCCAATCAATGGACCATGTGGTCGTGACAGTTATAGTCACATGCCAGTAACCCGGATGTGTCACCTTGGAAGACATGTGAAAGGTTCAAAGTTTGAGTAACTGTGTCTCGTGCAACATAGATGGTCACTTCATTCTTTCAGCTGAAATGGCAGGGGATCCCTTAAATATCGGTCCTCGTATACTACGGTAAGACTTGTGCGTGCGTGTCTACTTGTACTAGTGAGGACTTTTGTCGGTTTTATAGTGCTAGCTCACTGAGGCACTATGCCGCAGTTTATCACGGACTACCCACTACACAGTATGTTGACTACGAGATTTGTTTTTTTCCTTGAATGCTGAAGGCCAAGAAACAACAAGTAACATCTTCTAACGTAGTTTGTTCTGATACGATCGGGGATCGAACAATTCCGCTCTATCCACTACACCACGGAGGCGATCGAAACCTGAACGGTTGAATGTTCTGTAACGCCGCAGTCAGCAATATTTCAGCTTTATATCACAGTGGCATGTAAGGTCTGGACCAGGCAAACCGGTGACTGAAATCATGACCTACGATCAACGCCATCGGGGCTCGATGACACCAAATTAATTAATCATCAACCTATCATCAAATTATCTTTTTGTTACAGACACGGTAATAAGGATGTATCAAGGAAAATATAACAAAGTATCATGACAGATATATACAAGTTTAGGCGACAAGGGTTGACTGGATAAACCAGTGGTAATCACGTAGGGCAGTATTCCAAATAAACGCAAAGAAGCAAAGAATAATGTGTGTGTGTGTGTGTGTGTGTGTGTGATATATTGCGACAAATGTCCAAAGTGACTAGCCTGTTGGAAGCGGCTACAAAAGTATATAGCTTGTTTTGTGTTAATAGTGAAAAAGAATAAATTTCTTGAAGGTGCTCAGTGAACAGATGGTTTGTTTGACACAGAAGGGGAAATATATTTTGTTCTCAAACACACACTGCTCCCAAACATACATACACACACACACTGCTCCCAAACACACACTCTCAAACACTGCTCCCAAATACACACACACTCTTCCCAAATACACACACTGCTCCCAAACACGCACACACACACTGCTTCCAAATAGACACACTGCTCCCCAAAACAGACACTTTCTCAAACACACACACACACACACACTGCTTCCAAATACCGACACACTGTTCCCCAAAACACAGACACTGCTCACAGACACTGCTCACACACACACACACACACACACACACACACACACACACACACACACACACACACACACACACACACACACTGCTTCCAAATACAGACACACTGCTCCCCAAAACAGACACTTTCTCAAACACACACACACACACACACTGCTTCCAAATACCGACACACTGTTCCCCAAAACACAGACACTGCTCCCAAACACACACACACACACACACACACACACACACACACACACACACACACACACACACAAACGCATCAAATGGAAGCTCCCTTGAGAAGGGCGCACGTCGCGATGAGGAAACAACTCTTTGAGACACGGGTAAGAATAGGTCCCCAGCACTCTTATTCTTGTCGATTCCGTGGATTGGGTGGTCAGGTGACTTGGTTGATTGCGTGGCACGTTGCTGATACTATCAACCACTGGTTTGTCTGGGCTTGACTCAATCAGTGACAGGTTGCTGAATACTGATTGGTGACGTACAACACTGTAAGTGAACGACGACTGGGGTTTCCCCCGCATAGTGCACACGTATTATACGTCCGCTTCTATCACTCCACATAACTGACCTGAATATCGACCACTTGTTTGCGGAAATAGAACACATTACCCAGGGGCGTTCTGTTGTAACTATTATTATATGTTCATCTCAAACCTATAAGGTCAGTATAGAAATGTGAACATGACACGTAGGGGGGACAAACCGTGGAAGGCACATCGCAAGCACGCATGCACTGCACGTTCTGTGGTAGGGGAAAGGACAGAGCGTTAGAGGGGCCGTCTCATGATAATTTCAGTCGCAATCTGACTCGCTCATGCCATAGATCTCGTCGTCGGAACTGCTGGTGCCTGAGCCGACTGCCACTATTATAGGTTGGACTGTTGCTGGCCGTAGTCCATCTCGTGACCAATAACGTGGCTCT